AGTTTTGAAATGAGGCTAGGTTTTTGCCTACAGGTTAAAGATAAGTTGCAATAATAAAAGTGTTTATGGCTATATTTTATAAGGCACTTCTGTGCCAGTTACATCACAACATTGGCATAACTTCATTTGTTTGACATTGAACATTTGAAAATCAAAATCTACTTGTCGCTCCCTTCCTTTGTAATGCCTGACTAATAAAACACTTCGTGTCAGTTTTGGACTGAGTTGCAATTGCCTCAACAAGGGAGAGGACCAGAAGGTTTCTCTTAATATGTCCAGGCTACCTGAGGTCAGGATACAGGAAGGGAACACAGAGAAGAAGGGAAGGAAAAGTGAGGTAGACAGAAGGTATGAATGAATCAATGTGAGGGAGGGGGTAAAATGGACTGATAAGCACTTGATTCAGTGCTGGCATTATAAATACTATTTTAGTTATAAGAAGGTAAATGGGACCTCTAAATATGAATGTCTTCTAATGTCATCTTCAACTTTACACTTGGTCCTTTCACAAACCCCACTAACCTCACAACTCTAAACAGCTTTGACTTCCTTCTGTAGCTCCTGTCCTCATTTTCAATAAACTGCTGAAAATAATCTCAATCCCTAAAACTCAACTGAAAACCTTGGGCATCAAGTGGGTTATTTGACCTACTATACTGTACTATTCTTTGGTCAATCTGGAGAAGAAATGTAAGGGAAGAAAGAAGAAATAATAGAAGAAAATGAATCATGAAGAGAAGAGAAAGGTATGAAAAGCAGGGGAAGGCACAGAGGACCTAACATCCCATTCTCATTTACCCAGGAAACAGGTCAGAGCTCCAAAACTTGCTCCGAAATAGTTCAGATTTCCACAGGTTATGCTAATCCATAAACTTTTCCCTTAATGTGATACCATGACTTGGAAAGCTAATCAACATAAGGTTCTGTTTGATGCTTTTTCTTTTATAGATACCACAGGACAGTGTTTTATTTTTCTGTCTGTAAAACTACTGTAGAGGGAAGAGAGAAAGGCAAATCACAGCCCACAAATGAGCCATCCTGACTCCTTCAAGATTGCTCATTTCTTTCTTCCCCTTTTCTAGGATTTACAAACCCTAATAAGACTTCTATACTCTTGCACCATCATGAAGTTTTTTGTTTGTAAAGCTTTAAAGATCCCCACTGCTACAGAAAAAAAATACAAACTCAGACCACATTCAAAGTCCTAAATAATCTGGTGTTGATCTATGTTTCTAATTTTATTTGGTAGGACAGATTTCTTTTCACACTAAGGTTGCTTGGTCACAAGAAAATAAAAGTCTGAAATACTGTATGAAATAGGTATAAACACAGGAAATGGGAAGAACTTAAAAAGATTTATTGAAGGGGAGAAGCCTAGAGTCTGAGAAACATAGGTCTGTCTGTTAATTTGCTCCCAGGTAGCTTGAAAGAGAAACAAATGATGAAATATATGTGAATTGTAAAAAAAGAAAATCAATGGGTCAATGGGGAGAAAAAGAGACATCTGTAATATTTTAAACAATAAAATAAGTTAAAAAAAAACTTTGCCAAAAAAAGAAAAAAAAAGAAAAATCAGCAAAAGCAGGCTCTTTCTGTTTTAATCATGCCAGAGTCAGCTCAGGCTTAAGCTTTTGAGAATTAGGGTACATCTCAGTGGTAATGACTCACTACTATGATTCATAAAATGGTAAAAAATGAAGAAGTACAGAGATACGGATGACCCAAAGTCTCACTGCACAACCACAAAGAGAACTTACTTTATGAAGTTAAATAAGTAAGAAATATTTTCTCAAAGGAAAAAAAGTATTAATGTGTAACAAGATTAGAGACATTGAAATATATAAGAGTACCCCAATTTTTGAAGGTCTCTTACCAAAGACATTAAGAGGAACAGTTAAACATCATGGTGAGAATATGATGGAAATAGTGTATACTAACATTTTTAAATTTTTTGCTTAAACTGAAATATTTCACTTGGCTACTATAGCCAAGCTTTCCAATGACAATTTCGCAACCTTTCATGAAAACAGTAGTATTATTAAATGTTGCTATTAAAAATCAGAATTGCCACCCTAGCCAGTTTGGCTCAGTGGTTAGAGCATTGGCCCACAGACTGAAGGGTCTTCGTTCAATTTCTGTGAAGGGCATGAGCCTTGGTTTCAGGCTCAATTCCTGGCCCCGGTAAGGGCGTGTGAAAGGCAACCATTCCATGTGTTTCTCTCACATCAATGTTTCTCTCTCTCTCTCTCTTTCTCTCCTCTTCCACTCTCTCTGAAAAGCAATGGAAAAAATATCGTCAGGTGAGGATTAAAAAACAAAACCAGCCCTAGTCAGTTTTGCTCAGTGGTTAGAGCATTGGCCTGCAGACTGAAGGGTTGCACACTTGATCCCTGGCTCAGGTCAGGGTGCGTGCGGGAGGCAACCATTCGATGTGTCTCTCTCACATTGGTGCTCTTTCTCTCTCCCTGCCTCCCTCCCTTCCACTCTCTGAAAAGCAGAAGAAATATCCTTGGTGAGGATTAAACAAAAACAAAAAACGAACCAGAATTGCCACAGGAGGAATGCAACATAAAAACACGTTATCAGTCATACTTGTGAATAATGTTCAAGTGATCTTTAAGCAAAACCGAATGCCCCTTACCCTTTCCTAAAGGAAAGGTAGGAACTGGAATCTCTAATGGATCACAAAGTGGAACTGGGCAGCTGTCCTAGGCAAACTAATTTATTATTGCTCCTGGTAAGCTACACACTATTTTCCCCTCTCAACCCAGGGAAAAAAATTTAGTCCTTAATCCTTTCTGTGACACCACTGAAGACAGTGTGGGATCCCATCTAATAAAATGCTACGGATACTGACGTAATTTATCATGCAAGAATGAGTGACCTAAGGAAAGAGAAAAACTAGCCTAACCCAAATAATATACCAATAACTAAATAAAATAAGCTAAATTCAAAGTTGGCAGCTTTCTGGAAAACCTGAGTAAGGTTTTTGGTTTCTATGAGAGCAAATAACATATGACTTATGTTTTACACAAATGTTCGTTTTATTTTTTTTAAAAGCTCTTTTTCTTAAAAAAACATAATTGCCAGACTAAAAGAAAATTACTTCCTTAACACATACAGTATGTTAGAAGAAGTACTGATTTTAATGGTCAAAGGTGAAATTCCATCAACAGGTAGGTTTTCTAACATTCTCCCCAAATGCTGAATACCACCTGTGCATTTGTTTTTATAGTAAGAACTTTTTCTTTTTAGTATTTTATTTAGCATAAAAACCAAAAAAAGGGAAGTCACTTGATATATATGGGGAGAGGAGAAGTCACATTGAGCAAGAGACATCTGGGACAAGCTGTGGTGAAGATTTATCAGATTTGTGTCCATGGTGGGAGGTCAATAACACTGGCTGAATTACTGTAAAAACTGAAAATTCATTTGGCTCAAAAGTGTTTATTAATAGTGGGATTATTCAAATGTTTTATTTATCTGGGAATCATATTCCAAATACTGTGGAATTCTATTCACTCTGAAACAAGGGAATTTTATGTTAAAAATTTGTTAAACTTCTGGTTCTTTAAAAACAAAATTAAAACAAGAACCTTATTACCTGTTAAGCATGTGTACTAAAAAGACTGATCACACATGCATATTTTAGATTTCAAAAAGATTACAGAGAGATGAAAAATGCAACTGCCAATTCTAGAGTATTGAATGTCACAAAATGAAAGTATCTGAGGTAAGAGCAAGCTCTAAATTTAAAGCCAGGAGTCTGAAAACAGAATAAAGAAAGAAAATGAGATGTCTTAAAACAATGAATCACATAATGAGTTATTACAGACTTGGGGGTTTGGATAAGGAGAGCAAGGTCAACCAATAGTAAATTAACATAATGAGATATCATACAGGAAAGTACTTCACAAATTCAAAATGTTTTACAAAAACATCCAAAAAGGGATGTGAGACCATCACTTCTAAGAGAAACAAAATGTATCATGAAAGAAAACAGTAAATTCTCATGCTGCTCTAATGATGAAAGCAATGAGCTATCTATTTTTTGCAGGCTGGTTAAGTAGCTTCAGTCAAGCAGGTAGTTCAAGTGGGGGTGAAATTAGACTGGGGAGAGCCTGGCAATTATGTCCCATAGACTCAGTCTGACCCCCGGCTGTCTCTACGTCACCACAAGTCTGAAGTACACCAGGTGACTCAGATGGTTTAAAGACCTCACAGTGGAGTCCAGCGCTGTGGTCCTCAAGCAAATCAGGTATCTGGGTATCTGAGAAAGTACTTAGGGAGGGGGAAACAAAGTGACTTCAATCCTCAGAATTTGGGCTGGAAGCTATGGGGAATGAAGGATTAAGTTGTATACGAAAAGAACAAACAAAAATGCTTATTAAAATTAAAAAAAAAAGACACAGAGCAGCATGGGGATGGGTGAGACGAAGACATTCTAGCACAAAGAATGAGGACTTTCAAAAAAGAAAGAAAAAAAAAAAAAGAATGAGGACACCATCCCATCCTCGGGCTCATTCACTTCTCCCTTCTCTGGCTACACACGACGATGAGTCTTTTGTCAGCTCCAATCCACCTGACTTTCCACTTGGCCTTATTTTCCCCCCCTTTCATGACCATGTCTCTTTATAAAACATGCAGAATACCTCTTATTATTTTTAGTAAACCCAACTTCTTCATTTTCTTTTTCTGTCATTTTTTTTTTCTACTGAGTTAAACTACTAATGTAATTTTAAAATAATACTGACAAGAAACTCAGCTAAAACTTTCAACAAAATTAACCTTGAAAACTAAGACAAACAGGCCTCCTTCATCTCAGTTATCTATGTAATTTGCCCTTTATTATCACTAAGGAAGTGGCATTGAGACCAAACCTAACATGATTAAAGAAATGTTGGAGACAATTGAATATGACCCATAATCTAAATATGACATTTTTCCTAAAGTTTCTTCAGAAAAAAGAGGGAATAGGAAGAGCAGGGAATCACACTTACAAGTCCACTTATGGCTACAATCCAGATGTAGGAACCAGAGGTGAAAAGCTATAAAAGAAAAAAAAAAGGCACCTAAAAATGAAATTCAACTGCCAGTCACAGCATACTAATTTTTACATAACTAGAATCATAACCATTTATGTTAAGAACTACTTATATGTCATAATATAAACAAATAGAAAATTAATAAATATCAATTCTGTTATTTAAAAGAAAATAATATATTAATTTTTCTTTTTTAACCAAGACCTCCATGTTTCATAGCCTAAAATGAATTGGTTGAACCTGGCCCACTCCCATGTAAAGAAAAATAAGTAAAATTCATGCATATTCTTATTTACAAATGTAGATTAAAGTAAAATACCACCTATAAAGGAATTATTAGAATTACCAATGTAAAAAATATGTAGTCATCATCTGATGTTTGGTGTCAAGTAATGACATGTAATATTAGTTTACATAACTCTCATCACTGTTACTCTAAATTTAGATGAGAAGACCTCAAGCATATAGGTCCATGTTCAATGCTACTCTGTGTAACTGTTGATATTCTCATTCCAGTTCCTCCATGATAAAGCAAACTACGAAGTGATATCAAAGTTAATTAATGGCAAAAGTAATTAAAATTAAGTCTCATGAAATCTTTCCCTTTGCTTTCTAAATCATTTACATGTGAGTTTTGTGTTCAGGGTTTAAAAAATGTCATAAGACATCTCAAAGGGTTCCTGCAAGAAAGTAAAGATTTGTAGCCCAGCGTTTGTTCACATTTAGATCTTTAGATCAGGAATTTAAGTATTCCTGCTCGTACAGAAAGAAGCAGGTACCCAGGTCCTTTTATGACATTATGCTAGATGAAAACCTCAAATTCTACATATTTATCAAGGATACGTAGGGGAAAAAAGATACATAAAAAGAAGACAGATGCAAAGGTAAGAGATGACAAAGCACAGGTAAAGGGTGGCTGACAAGCTTTGCTCTAGCGCTTTCTTAAGCAGAAATGAATGTTGGCTGCAACTTTAATCTCTTGATCTAAAATGTAATCCATTGATCAAGTATGGATCCTACTTCAGTGTAAATGACTGACAATAACAAGGATGAGAATTATCTTATTTAAAATAAACTATTTTTCTGTAGTTTTCTTCTAAAACAGCTAACACTTTCATAGCACTTACTATGTGTCAAGCTGTGATCTTAATGCTTTTCATACATTAAACTACTGAGTCCTTCTAATCACCCTATGCGGTAAATTTTATTATTAACTCTATTTTACCCATGAGAAAACAGAGACGTTCAATAATTTGCTCAAGGTCAAAGAGCTGGTGGGTGGTGGAGCTGTGAGTATACACCCCAAGTAGTCTGACTCCACAGCTCTCTGCCCAGGACCACTCCACGCTACTATGTATCATACATGAGAAAGATGAGCGGTATCATTAATTTTGTCAGTCAAAAATGATTTCCTTTGGTCTCCTAAGCCCTCATCTTACTGCATGTTCGGTCCCAGCTGTGTCTTTTCATGCTTTGACAGTGTGTGTTTTTCTCACTGCTGGGCTCCTTGACCACAGGCATCACAGCTCACTTCATTTTACCCTCCACAGTCCCTAGTATATGGCATTGACTGGCTTTCAAGCAATTTGATATATAAATGACATTCACAAACATTTTGTTCTTCTGGTAATGATTAAAGTCATTCATTCATTCATTCATTCATTCATTCATTCATCAAATGTCTGTGACTTCAAGAAATTGTTGTATGGAAGACAGAAAGGAATAGAAACATGTGCAAAGGTTTAGAGGGGGAAGGGGAGAGAGAGAAAATAAAAACTTTGAGAATAAGGGATTGATACTCAGTTCAAGGTAGGGGGGGTGGGAGTTGATACTAGATAGGCAAGAAGAACCCTGGATGCCATTCATGCTAAGGACTTCAGAGTTTATAAAAAAGATGCTAGGGCATCTCCACCTCTACTTTCTGATACCAACTTCTACGTCACCAAAAAACCAAAACAAAACAATCTCAGAACACCAATGGTGATAGCTATAGAGACATAAATTATTAATGAATAATAAGAACCGATGGACTTAGTTCTTATTATCTAAACTCAATACTATTATCTTTAATCTTTCAAATGACCCAGTAAGATAGATATTATCCCCACTTTACAGATGGGAAAATGGGAGCTCAGAACAGGTGAAAGACAAAGCAAATAATTATCTGAGCAAGTAATTAAACCAAGTCCACTTGGCTCCAAAAGACTTTACACAATGCTCCACTGAATTCCTACTCCATAATTAATAAAAAAATGTTTTTCACTCCCAAAGATGGTCTATAACACTGGAGCTGTAAGGAACTATAGAATCAACATGAAGCTCAGAAGACTTCTATAACTTGACCCAAGTCACAGTCTAGTGAGTGCCACATTAGAATTAGAACTTGGGTTTCCCGCTCCAGGTCCAGGGCTCTCTTCTACCACTGCTTTCTGCCTTCCGATATAATGTCGTAAAAAAGAAAAAAACTCCACAAAAACATGTCACAGCAAATTTTATCAATAACAATAAACTGCAGAAATGGGCTATTAGGTTATATGAATATTAGGAAGGACAGGGAGACTGTAACACTATGTAGTTTGAGAGAAGAATAAACATACTTAGTGAGAAACGGTTGTAAAAGTGGTCAAAAAAACACCTACCCCAGATGAGCCATTGATAACACATGAGAGCAGACTAGAGAAGTTAGAGGAAATGCTAAAGGTTAAAAGGGGAGGGAGGAGGGCATTTTACAGAGACACCAGTATCCGGTTTGAGATGTGTGGGATAAGGAATGTCATGAGTATTAACAGTGGATCAAAAGGCCAAGCTACACATGGCACCACAGGAAATAGCAGAATAAAAGTTTTACATCAAAAGCTGTGAGTGAAAGCAAAGTGACAAATACAACAGGTAGAAAACTGAAAATCATATGTATTAGTTGGCCTGGAACCCAGAAGAGAGTGATCCCTATTTACTGAATATTGGTGATAATAACCTTTTTCAATTTAAGTCAAATAATAAGGACCCTCCCTAATGGTCTTCACATCAAACCATTTAGCAGGTGGTGACATTGCTATCATGCCTATACAACACAGAAGTTATAAAGTTGATAACGCTTCTAGCAAACCCCAGTTCGGGTTGGTAAAGCATATCTGATTCCTTCTTCAGAGCTCTATTTGTGACACCATATTCAATAAATTAGCTTTGACAGTGATTTTCCACTTGCCATCTTTTAACTCTTCTCATTTGTTTCCATTTCATACTATGATTTTGAAAAAGTACTTATACGCAATTGTACAATGAAATTAAAATATTTTCCACCGATACGAATTACAGTGAAAGCTCTTATCAGATTCTACAGGCTATGAAAGTATTCTAGTACCTTATATACCTTGATGTTCTCATTCTGTAATTCTTCCTTTGAACATTTGATATAGATCATGAAGCCAAACTTATGGGAAAAAACATTGTTTTCAAGGAGATCAAATGAGAAAAAGACAAAAAAAATATATATCTGGTTAAAGAAACGTGAACATAAAAATGCATACTATACCTGCAGTCCCAATATATAAATCAATGTCTTGTTTGTGATGGACAACGGGCCCAGAATATGTGCCACTTGGACTCTCGGTATGGAGCAGTAAAATGGTACAAACAGAGCAAACACAGGTGCCAGGCTATGCAAACAAATAAAGAAATATCACTATAGTATAATGATTCAATTTAAAAATACCAATGGCAAATGTATATTTGGTGTAACACTGCTTATAATTTTACTTCAGTCTGAAAGCATGGTCTTAGATACACAATTTGCTTTCTCTATGCACATCATGTCTGAAATAATTTGTACTTATATATAAAACATTAAAAAAAAATCTAATCCTTGTCAACTATCCCAAAACTATTGCAAAGAAGTGGTTTAACGTCTACTAATTAATTGTCAGAAAATTTAAAGTTGGTGCTATGATTCTTCCCATGAATGACTTAAAATCTAATGAAAAGGGACTAGACAAACCAAAAACAGCACATATTAGAATGCATCATGGTTAAGTCCAAACGCTTTATCTGAGACTTTGCCCATATATCACCTTAGCAATTGACATCACTTCCCACTCCTGCCCTCTCTGCCTCAAAGTCCTCCCTCATTTTGTCTTAAACATTGTTTCTTGCTGGTCTCCCTATGATTTCTCCTACCACTCTTGTACCCTCTCCAGGGTTCCATTACAGTCTTTTCTTCTTGCTCCACTCTCTCCTTATATAACTGCAAACCTTCTATGGTTAGAATTAAGAAAATGAAGTGAGTCCCAGACTGTCTGCCTGTCCTCTCACCTAGGTTGTGAAGCTCAATTTGATATCCTCAACTGGACATATTCAAAAGTCACAAGCCCTAACACTTAAAGTCTTCTTTCTAATCCATCTCTTAACATTGTTAACAGTATTTTCTTCCCAAAACACAGCTCTGATTATGTCACACCCCTGTTTAAAACCCTTCCTGCCACAGGCTCCCAGTATCCAAAGACGAAATTGAAATATTAGCATGAAATAGCAAAGCCCTCCAATTCTTTCTTGTCAGCTGCAGTTTCCTACAGCTGCAGTCCTCTCTGTTCCCCTAATCTGGTTCCTCCCCTCTCATCCCAGCCCCCAAAGAGGCTCCCTAAGCACATTAGGTCCCTTTGACTATTCACTGACACAGGTTATTCTTTCAACCTAAATGTCCTTTCCACTTTCCTGCTGAGGACACTTATGGTGTATGACAGAGCTCAACTCTTTTCAGTGATTTCTCCAGTTCCTGTTGGTGGTTAATAGCTCTCTTCTTTGCCTTCAAAAGCTACCTCAGTTTCACTGTTTCAGTGAATCACCTGGGCACTCCGTGAGAGGCAGTAGGCCAGGTACAGGAGCTCCATCTATATCAATGAGTAAAAAGCAGTCGCCAATCTCAAGAAATTAACTCCACGATCTCAAACATACATTCTTACAAGGGCCAGGCAGACAACATGAACGAGCAGAATGGTTTGGACACACACTTGTACCCATTCTCCATTAAACGCTTGGCTTAATTACTCGGTCAATTTTTTTATTTTTCCATTTTTTGGGTGAGTGGCATCAGTATAAAGAACTATTTCTTTACCAAAAGAAAATGCAAGAAATATTCGTCACTAACACAAAGAAATGTTCTCACTACACTTTTTGTAGAAACACAGGACCCCCTTAGCCTCTTGTGCATTTCTCATTGTAGACAGAGGTCGTGTTATTAAAAAACCATTCACTATCCTCTCAATTCTAATATTCAAAACAAATGCAAATGTACGCTACAAATGTGACTAATGGCAGCAGCATCAACAGGCATCCACAACAACATAGCAAATGCTAGAACAGGGAAAACCCCAACCAGTAAACACCCAAGTGCCAGACACTGGGTCAGGTCTGAAAACACAAAAATATGTAAAATGCAGCCTCTCCCAGTGTTGTTAGGAGAATGAGAGGGACCGGGCAGCAGAGGTATGTACATAGCACAGCTGATCAGTCCTGTGTGCCTCACTCATCTGGTCCTGGTTCTAGACTGAGCACACCCCATGGCAGGGAAGGAAATGCATTGTTTGGCCCTCCCAGCATCTGGCACAGTGCTTGACATAGCATGGGAGCTCATTAAATTAGGGACAATGAAACAGTTGTACCATTAGATTATTAATTTTGTGAGAAAGTACCATGTTCTATTTCATGTTGCATCCCCCTAGTGCCCAATATAGATATCCTTATACATAATAGACCACTCCTGGCCTTAAAATCCTCCAAGGATTCCCCACCCTTGAGTAAAAGTCGAAGTTGGCCTGTGTCCCCACCTCAAACCTGACCTTCTACTACTACTCCCCAACGCTTGCTCTCATTGATCCAGCCCTACTGGACCAAGGTGTGCCTCATTCAAGCAGGACCAGGCATTCGGTGCCCAGGGCGTGTGTATGTGTTCTTCTCCCTCTTCTGGCCATCTTCACACAGACATGGGCATCATTTACTGCCTTCCACCCTTCAGGTCTTTACTCAAATAGCACCTTCTCAGACAAGCCCTCCCCGACCACCTCATTCCAGACTGCAGCCCCTGCCACAGTTCACAGCCCCATCCCCACTGGGCATGCTCTATTTCCCTTTCCCCATAGCACCTATAACTGGCTACTCTGCTACATGACTTATTTATCATCTGTCTTGCTGACTAGAATGGAAGCTCTATGAGGGCAGGGATTTCTGTCAGTTTTGTTCGCTGGTTTAGCCCCACTATCTAGAACTATGCCTGGCACAGAATAATTGCTCCATAAATATTCATTGAGTAAATGAATTTCTCTTTAAAATCATAAAACCAGTCTCGCCTGTGTGGCTTAGCAGTTGAGCATTGACCTATGATCCAGAAGATTGCGGTTTGATTCCCGGTCAGGGCACATGCCCGGGTTGCGGACTCGATCAATGACTCTCTCATCATTGATGTTTCTGTCTCTCTCTCCCCCTCTCCTTTCCTCTCTCTGAAATCAATAAAGATATATTTAAAATATATGGCTTCATATATACTCAAAATATGGCCTGCTGGTATCTTGGTAATAATAAGAAAACTCTATTTTGGTTGCACTTGAGATCTCTTACCACAGAACATGTTCTTTAAGGTACTTAAGTTATTGAAATTCTTCTGTTTACATTTAGCAATAAAGTGTAAAGTGATGTTATAATAAAAAAATCTGAAGCAGAGTTCTTGTTTGAACTTATATTTCAATGTAAAATAAAAAAAAATATTGTTAGGAATTTTAATGACCACAGTTAAAGTCTTATATACCAACAGAAGTTTTAAAATTCCTTAGAAGTTATTAATCACTGTGTAGTTTTCAATGATGACTAAATACTAGACCACATGCACCCATAATACAAAAGCACACATTTCAGACCACGGTCATATAGGTTGTTTTGTAGAAATTTTCCATTGCTATTTCTAAACACACAGGCTTCACAAAATACCATGCTATTAGTCACTGACCAGCTTTTCTCTTTTCCTTATTTTATGACAACATCTGTTCTTTATACTGTCAACAATAAGTTCAGTTTGACCTTTTTCATACTGTGGATAGCTAGCTTCTGGAAGCCCTACCTGGCTTAAGCATATGAGACTGAAGTATAGAAAAGAGGAAAACAGATTATAAAGAATTCTTTCATTCTTCCACTAATATTTATTATCTACTATATACTCAAAACCATACTCAACAGAAAAAAATCAAATAACGGAAACACTCAGTTCAGGTCACAAATGTCTATCTTACCTCTTATACAGAAAAGGACATTGACTCCACTTTTATAGAGTACAACTGAAAATATCCTGCTAAGTTTCAACAACAATAAAAATAAGGTTTGTGAGCTCATGAAATTATCTTACCCTAAACCTCAACAGCATCTTGTAGGACAATGCCCCATCACCTCTTCCTTATATACTTGACTACTTTAATAACAAAAACGAGGTAGACCCAGTTTGTTAGTACATTTACTTTACCTAGTTGGGCTCTTCATTGTATAACAATGTTTACTTAATAAAAATGATTTCAAAAATTAAAAACCAACACATCCCACTAGGATGGCCTTTCAACAAAATGAAAAACTTCAACAGTGTCCTCTTCAAGTATTCTTCTATCCAAATTTTAAAGAAACAAGTTCTACAATATTTTATATTTATTCATCAAATCATAAAAATCTCTTATTTCCCTTCATTGGATTTTTTGAACTGGGAATTATCTTGGTGACCATTTAGTTCAATGACTTTATTTTATAAACTGTGGGGTGGAGCCCTAAATAATTGCTCTACGTTTGATAAGGTTTCTTCAAAGATCTTCAGCATTTTAGTTAGGAAGAACCTAATAAGCTTCTAAATGAAAAGATACCACTGATAGGTTAAAACCACGTGGCCATTTTGACAGACTCTTATGATAAAAGGGCCTTCCCCTAGCCAGTTCGGCTCAGTGGTTAGAGCGTCGGCCTGTGGACTGAAGAGTCCCAGGTCCGAGTCTGGCCAAGGGCACGTACCTCAGTTGCAGGCTCAATTCCTGGCCCCAGTCAGGATGTATGTGGGAAGCAACCAATTGATGTGTCTCTCTCACGTTGATGTTTCTTTTTCTCTCTCTCTCTCTCTCTCTCTCTCTCTCTCTCTCTCTCTCTCCCCCTCCCTCCCTCCCTCTCCCATTCTCTCTGAAAAGCAATGAAAAAAAATATCCTCAGGTGAGGATTACAAAAACAACAACACACACACATTAAAAAAAAAACCACAAAAAATAAAAGGGCCTCTGAGGTCACAGAGCTACAAATTCCTACCAAATGATTTAATATTCTCTATACCATCTTTCAAAATAGTCACCCAGCTTATGCAAGCATCTAAATAAGTTATGATCCTAACTTTCGGGAACTAAACACATATTTTAACTTGAACGCAGTCTCCAGTAGCTTCATCTTACTGGCTTTCCTTCTATTCTCTGGAATTAGGAAGACTAATATATGCAACCTAAACCTTTTTCTACGAGACATCTTCCAAATGCATGACAATAGTAATCCCATCCCTGCTAAGCCCAAACATTCTCATTCAACCATTTCTCCTAAGACCTAGGATCCAGGCCCCTCAACATCCCAGGCACACTCTAAGTCATCTGTGCCCTTTGCAAAGTGCAGCAGCCAGAGCTGACTGGTAATGGCCAGACTGGTCCTGGAAAAGTGTAAATATCACCTCTTTTGTTTTGAGCACTATATTTCTATTAATTTAGCCTACAAATAGATTGCATTTTGATAGCTATGTTACACTGTTGGTTTAAACAGTCAACTAAAACCAAGGTGAACAGCATAGGTCTCCTGCATCTTGTGCACAAGAGGCTCCATTTTAGCTGCAAAATGCACCCTTCAACTTTTCCCTTGTTGTTCCTGTGTCCGTGCAGTCACTGAATCAGTCAAGTTAGCCTCCTGCCTAAAAACATCAACTAATCTCTGTATATATGCAAAAGACCATCTTCTTCCTACTCATAACAGAAACTTTTGTTTCTTTCTCATAAGCTGTTGAGCAAACTACCCTGTCTCAAGTTTCCAGGCAGACAAACTGTCAAAGTTGACATTTTTTCCCCTTAAAACACTTAAAAACTCATACTTTATACAGACTATAGTTACAAAATCATCTGTAACTATGATTTATGTTTTTTTCTGGTTAAGGTCTATATTGCTTCAATCTCTTTCACATAATTTTTTTAAATACTTAAATCTTTCTAGAAAAATTTATAAAGTTCCATAGATATCAGCAATTCATAAATTCCAAGGGGTTTTTGGATAACTATTTAAAAAAAAAATCACCAACAGAAAAATTTCACTTCTCATTTTTTAAAAAAAAAAGTGTACACGCATACATGGAGCTAAATTACTGTGCTCAGTCACAGGGTGACAGAAAAAAAAAGTCACCACCATAAAAGGATGTCTGCATAATCTCTCTTAAAACAACATGCCAAGGTGAAGTTACTTCAGTTTGGTCAGATCCTGACCGCTGCTACACACAGGCCCACACAAGTTACTGAGAGGTAAGTACTAAGCATCTTGTTTTTTCAACAGTCTTTTGAGTTAAGAAAAACTTTGAAAGCCTACTTAAGGTATAAGGTAAAGGAAAAGAATATATTGAATAACAAGCTATAAGCATTTCTAACAAAAATTATGTTATTAATATAGCTTAAATTCTCTAGGGACTAGCAGCTCTAATCAGCTAGTATTAAACTAGGTGAAACCAATGGATCATGCCAGAAACATCTTTGCCAAAAAATAGGTTTACTTTGCATTTCTGTGTGAACTCACAATTATAAAAAAACAGTATCAAGTATATATCGGCAGATAATGCCAATACTTCAGGATACTTTAATACGAAGGGAAAGGAACAAAGCTATTTTAAGATGAGGTATTCCTATACTTAAATGTATTGTATATATAACAAGTTATTCAGCACAATTTAAAGAGTTGTAACATTTTACTATTTGACCACATACCTATGTACAAAGTATTTTTTATACTTCTATTATTTCTCTCTCTATATATATTTTAATTTTATTTTTGATAAAAATATTACAGATGTCCCTTTTTCTCCCCATTGACCCGCTCCACCCTGTCCCATCCCCCTCCCCAGTCTATTTCTATATTTTTTAAAAAAGCTTTTGATATAAATTGATGTTTTTGGTTTATAAAAACATTTTACCAATTTACCCTCTGATCAGTAACAGTCTGGGCTTCACTGTTTCTCAGCCAACTGGAGTATTTCAACTCTAAATATAAACCATTAATCTGATAAGTAAAAAAAAAATAAAGTATCTCTGTTGTTTGCTTTATATTCATTTGATGATCAGTAAGGCTAAACATGTCTTCATATTTTCTTTACAACTTCTATGTGCCTAAAAAAATCACAGAACAATGAATTATATGCAATGTTTTGCCAATATTTATGTCTAGGTTGGGAATGAAGGTAACAGGAACTTTTGAGAAAATATAAGCTATGAGGAAACTTCCTCTAAAGGAGGGTGTGGTTTTGAGTTTTCTGTTGGGTAGGGGTTGTCAGTCTAATTATAATACAGTGTAGTGGTTATAAGCCTGAGCTCTGGGGCCTTGGGCAGGTTACCTAACATCTCTGGCATTAGGTGCTTCATTTGTAAAATGGTGAGTAGTAATACTGCTAAGCTCTTGTAACAGTGGCTCTCATACTAACTGCTAGGAAATTGTTATCATTATTTCTCCCTCCCTCTGCCCATCAAACTGTCAAAGGATGAATCCAACAGGCAAAGTTTCCTTGCCCCATCACTTCTGTGAGAATTATTTTTTGAACTTATTTTCAGATCTTTATGGAATATTTTACATACAGAGTCTACGTATGGCCATAAATCTAACTGTGTTTACTGTCTGGACTCTGCATTTTCTAGTATTATTTCAGTGCATGTTTTCTCTCTGGGGTTTAATTGTACTTTTGGACACAACACTGCAGAGAGCACATCGCTGTACAAAGTATCCTATCAAGTGGTGGTGGTGGTGGTAATTTTTTTATAAATTACTTTCAACTGGCTTCTGAGAACTTACCAGTAATAACACGAGCAGTCATTTAATGGAATAAATATTAACTCAGGTCACTGAATGACTTTCATTCATTATGTATCCCATAAACAATTACTAGGTACCTATGGTAGGACAGTTCTGAAACACTCTATGAGATGAAAATGTTGTACTATAAGACAAAGCCATCATCCTCAAAAAGCTTACATTTAAAAAATGAACTGACCACCCAGTAAAGGAGTTTACAAACGATACTTTACTCCTGCTCTGGTTAAGGGCCTGCTGGAATTGTAAGGCCCTAGGGTATGGTGTGTGCTGAGGATGTGCAGCATCCTCCAGTCTGTATAGTTTCTCAGCTTCCCAAGAAGTCTATAAAACACAGGCTTCAGTGCAAGATGAGAATGTGCATGTGAAAATCCTATGAACACGGTAGAGCTAACTAACAAAGATCCTTGTGGTGTCTTAAAGGTCCAAAGAGAAGAATAAAAATATTTTGTTAAATATCTGCAAATACCTAAAAAGTACTATAAAAATAAATTAATAACATAAAAGCTATTTTGGGTATTCACCATTTTCTTTCAAATGAAATTTCAGTCCAAATGGCTTTACAGAAATATTGTCAAAAACAGTAACATCTAAAATCATTTATAAAACCTTTAAAATATGCCACAAATTAATAAATTCCTTTACTTAAATCAACGTATTTCCCTTTCCTCCCCCTGCCCGTCTCCCTAGCCCTCCTCTCTGTGCAGAGAGGTGGGGGTTGGTATGTGTTACAGTTTTGAGACATCTCCCTAATTCACTTAGTTCCTACCAATACCATCAGCTCATGCTGTACATAGGAGCCAGGAAGAAAATGTATTGCACTGAGTGTGGTTATTGGAGCCAAACTGCCTGGATTGAATCCTGACACTTAACAACTCTATCTTCAGGCAAGTCACGAAAGTGCACTGTGCCTCAGCTTCACCATTCAAATGGAGTTGTGAAAGTTTGGAAGGATTCATGTGAATATATGCAGAGTGCCCAGGGCAGTGCCTGGAACATTCTGTGCTTAATAATACTGGTTACTGTTATTAATCAAGAGCTTACTATAGTCTAATCTAAAGAAACCTTGACTGAGGATCAAGAGAGCTGGGGTTTTGCTATTCTATTTTTTTTTTCTTTTTAATTGATTTTAGAGAGAGGGAGAGGGAGAGAGAGGGGAAAAAAACAAACATTGATGTCATTGATGTGAGAGAGAAACATCGATTGGATGCCCTCCGCATGTGCTCTGACCAGGGATCGAACCCCAACATGGATATGTGCCCTGACTGGGAATTGAACCCATGGCCCTTTGGGGTATAGGATGACGCTCAAACCACCTGAGCCACTCTGGCCAGGGCTAATGAGTATTTACTAAGCATCAATCATGGGTCAGCTGGAGATACACAAACTTAACAATACAGTCTCTGCTCATAGGACTTCACCAGCTAGTGGGAAACAGAAAAAAAATACATCCAACAACAAAAACCAACAATACTGACGGTATTACAAAGCATAGTCCCTAGCAAGGATGGCCCACACTGCCTTTCGTAGGGTGCTGGTGAGTGAGCAGGAGAGAATAAAATGAAAGACACTTCCAGGAGCAGCTGATTTTGAAATAAGTTGAAGGAAAGTAGGAACTAAAATTACATGACAGAGGAGAGGAGGCATCAAGATGGAAGGAAGAGTGTCAGAAATGTAAAGAGCTGAGAGAGAATACAGGACATCAAAGGACTGCAAGTAATTTAGTGCGGCTGGAGCCAGGGCATTATAAGAGAAAAGTGGCCAGAGACCCGGCTGAAGAGGGAAGCGGCACCCGATCATGAAGGAAAGTGTGTGTCACAACGGAGAGCTTTTCATTTGCCTGGAATTCAATGGGCACCATTTGAACCACGTTGCAGGAACTGCTGTAATGGCTGCAGACAGAAGTGAGGGTGGTGGCCTGAAGGCTGGCAGGGGTGGGAAATAGCACACACACAGGCAGGCAACAGACATAAATGTGCTGCAGGCACAAGAAATGCTGACTGGCTGGAGGTAGTGGGTGAGGGGGGACACAGAGTCCTGGTTGCCTCATGTTCCCTGAGTTGGCATCTATACTGAGGGAGAACCGTGAACAAATGACCTAATTCCGTTTATCCGTAAAACGAGGATATTTAATGTTCTAGACTAATTTCCATGAGATAACAGAGACAAAACCCAAAGCTTGAAACTCCCTAGAACTTTAAGGAGAACAGGTACATATTATTTCTAGGAACATTTTGGACTCAGAGGAAAAATATGATAGAGACTCAGACCTTCATTATAAAGAGCCTTTTTATATCAGTTAGTTATCCTGCATGTAAGTCAAATCATGCCACAGGGAAAGACAGTATTTGTCTTCCTTACTCTTGAAATGATGATAGTGGGATTCTTTTTTCTTACAGTCCTAAACATTATGTCATAGAATTCAAGTCCTTAGTGCTACTACCTCCTTTGTCTTCATCTTTGACAGCTTTCATAGCATTCTAGCCATTACGAAAGTTGACCGAAAGCCACACAAGGAATAATCAGTGAAAGGTGAAAGAAAAATAGCTGGAACATGTAAAACCCTTGATGTGTGAGTGGGTGTTTAACCAAATAATTTAAATGTCAGGCACCTTTCACTTTCCCAGCGATTCCAATGTACATGTTTACAGAAGCTGGAGGTGGTCTTCACCAAGTGTCCACTGAGCTCAGGACACTAGAGAGGCACAAAGAAACTGCAGACTGGCAAACACTAGTTTTCTGTCTTGAAAAGTTCTCCATGTATCGTCCTGTAGATGATTCTCTGCAGACCCAGTGAGTGGGAGTCAGAACCAGATCATGTCGTGGGGTGGCAGCAGGGTCACATTTCCACAACCCAGAAAAAGTGAGCTACAGGGAGGCAGGAAAACAAAGTCCCTCAGACACCATTGACCAGGGACAACTCTACTCAGAATATATACACACGTGTGAGGTTCTCTTCTGAGAAAGAACAGGCAGCTGCCAGTGGGCCACCTTTCTGGACAATATTCCCTTCCAAAAAATGAATCTTGGACACAGTCTTAGCTATTAATTTAGGACTCAAAGCTGGTTAGAAAAAAAAATCATCTAATAGTGTAGAAAGATTTATTTTACTAGGTTAACCGGGGTGTGTACTATCAAAGCAGTTGAGGAGCAGTGCTATGAAATGGTCAATCTGACTTTGCTGAAGAAGTGAGTGAGTGATGAGAGGCTGTGCCTGTGCTGGTCACAGCCTGTCTGTGCCTCAGATTTCCTTTCCACAATCAGAAGTTAAGGACGCTTTTTCAAGTAATTGACAAATACTTAGAAAACTAGGTAACTGGAAAAAGCAGCAATGATTTCTTTCTTCCATGAAGTATGTATTCCTAAGGGCACTAGACAGCCTCAGCCTGCTATCCTGATATATCTGTGCTGATCTGTTTCCTCAGTAGACAGATCCTTGTTACTCCAATGA